CTGATCTGCGAGTGAAACCTTGAAAGCTCACGAGATCAGGATGGTCTCACGAGGCTAGTTGAAAGTGTGATGCCACTGCAAATTGCCAACGAGTATTATCCTCATAATAGCCGGCATGTAATTGTGATTTTGACCCTGTGTAAACCAGTGGAAACATACTCAATAACCTTAAACTTGTGCTCATAGTTTTTTATTTTTCAAAATCTCCACGTTTCCTCTATTATCAGTACACAATGAAAGCATCTGTTCAAGTGTTTCTTTGTAAGACCCAATGGGGTAAAACATTCTTGCATAGGATGGTTGCAGGATTTTTAATTGTACCAAACATTCAGTTTGTTTGCAATGTTTAATGAAGTCATATTGTTAGAAGTGACGTATAATTGAAAGATCATCTCCAATATTTCTATTTTTAATTTCTTTCCAGGAACCTTTGTGCAAGGAGTCACAGCTGTCGTTAACCTCTGACTACGGATCATAATTTCAAGAAGGAGGAGCTCGATTAAGAAACTGAATCTAGACTAATTTCAGTGCAAGGCACCGACTGGCAATAATGGAACAATTAAAACCAACCTGATGCAGCTTGAATTGTTCTGTTCAACAATGCAGTGATTTGTTGTATTGGCCACCAGGTGGCACTGTAGACATTTTACCTTAATGTTATTTTTTTTGCTTGCAATGCTGCACAAAATGTTTTCTTTCACAGCACTGAATACAATTTAGTTTTAAAGGAATAAACTGAAAGATTAAAGCTGGTTTGAAAAGTTTGTTTAGCAACCAATAGTTACCTGCAATGGGTTTTTAAGACACACCTGTTTGTGATTGGATATCAGTCATATTTTAATTAGGGGAGGGAGGCTTCCATTTACAGGATGATGGAGCTGCAGAGAAAAAGAAGGTGAGGAACAAACTCAAACAAATGCTTTAAAACTCTAACTTATCTGAAGTTAATGGGTTTTTTTCTGTTTCATCAGAATGGACATCCAGCCATGCATCCTTAGCTGGAACCTAACCTCTACTCTTTTGCTTTCTTCTCTGCTCCTTCCTGCTTTAACTGCAGCCAGCCTCCTTTGTAACTTCTGTCCCCTGCAGCACAAAAACAAATCCTGCACAAATATGACCAGCGAGTGTCTGCCCCACCAGCACTGCTCCAGTTCCCGGGGCCGGTATGGCTCAGTCCACGTCCTGTCCTCTCAAGGCTGCTTGGATGCCAAACTCTGCGACTCCCATGAAATGATCTCCTATCGGGGTGTGGAATACAACATCAGTCACACCTGCTGCTGCAGAGACGGATGCAACCATGTGCCACAGTCCAGCACCAACCTGCTGGAGCTGCTTGGGATGAACAAAGAAAATCCAGAGTATAACACCAACACTCGAATAAAGCGGGAGCTTTGGGATTCATGTGTAAACTATACAAACTCTATTTCCTTTAAATCATAGTTTAAGGATTAAGACTGAGGGGAGGCCTGTTAACCACAGGAACTTACTTTAGCGTCTAAAAGCCGACTAACATTTAGTCAGATGTTTGCATGCTTTGTAACTTAATTTTAAATTGTGAAAACATTGGAGAAAATGTATGTTGCAGTTTCTGATTATATTCCAGAGAGAAGAGGTTGGATTTGTCATGCATCCTCCTGGTATACTGTGGCCACTGGCCCATGCTGATGAATAAAGGCATTGTAATTAAGACCCAGTGTAGTCTGGTGTATTAAAAGCAGGTGTGTTTGGAAGGTGTGACCTTTTTTTTGTAGAGAGCAAACACAGTTTCAACAGTGAAATCTCTGAAAAGTTTTGCTTGTTGGATTTCCAATCTGTGAAAATGGCTGGGTAAGTCTACCAAAAAGCTGCATCCACTTTCTAACTTTATAAACTCTAACACTAATATAGCAGGGACATTGGTAACACCTGAAATTAGATTCTGAGACCCTGAATCTGGTAAACTTCCTTCCGACAGTTGGTAGAAATATGTAAAATGGAATTGAAGATTTATTTTTGTTGTTGCTGAGAGAAAAAGGTAAGATTAAGTCATAAAGAATATAATTGAACCTTTTCGTTTATTTCAAATGTCATTGTTATGCCTTGGATGAAATACTAATTGGCAAACTAACCTTTTTATACACTCTGAGTTTCAGAAGGCTTAAGATTTGGATTTTTGCATGTTATTAGAAATTTAGAGGCCAGTATTTTAACACTTAATGATATATTATCTATATCACAAACTTTGATGGTCCTGAACTAGTCAGAAAAGGCAAACATGAAACTGGAAAATTAGCTATTTTAAAGTACTCGGCTGTTGGTAATCAGTTAAATGCATTCAAACCAGATCTTTGCACCAATGCTCTTACTATTAAATGAAATTTAAGAGTAAGATTTAGTAAAATTTAACACTGAATGGGTATTAAATAAAATTTTAATTTCGTAAAAAAAAGATTGATATACCATCACAATTTTCCAATTTCTTCACTTTGTTGCAAATTGGGCCATTGCTTAAGTCAGGGATGCTCAAGTTCAGTCCTCAACAGCTACTATCCTTCAACGTTTTGATGCACCCTATTTTAACACGCTTAACTCAAATGAGTCTTATTATTATGCCTCTGCTGAGCTAAATGAGGGGATTGAGCCTTTAGATTCAGGTGTGTTAGATAAGACGTGCATCTAAAAGTTCCAGGATGGTAGCTCTTGAGGACTGGACTTAAACACCCCTGGCTTAAGTAAATAAAGCAAGAAAAAAAACCTAAGGATTATTTTACTACGAAAAAATATAACCTAAAAAAACTTTTCAAAAGTTCCGTAAAAATTCAAAAAAATATCCACTGGACTTGGTTTCCAAGATTTGAAGACGTTTCTCCACCTCTCCAGGAAGCTTTCTCAATTCAAATTTTCAAAAGTTGGAATAAACCACAAAAAAATCCAAAACCTAACCCTTAAAACGGCAAATTAAAATGTTTAATAATTGAACTTTATTGAGCTCGGTATTTACCTAGCAGTGGGCTGCTGTTGTGCAGCGCCTGGGGAGCAGTGTGAGGTTAAAGGAATAGTACACCCAAAACATGATTAGCCTTCATTTTCTACTCACCCCCATGCTGAACAAC